TCCTCCCTAACTTGACTAGTTACATTGTAATGTGTATGTTGAGCTTCAGACCCGTGTGTGGCCCCCCCCAACTGAAGGGTCCATTGCACAGAGAGGACCAGAGCCTACCTGAACCAGGAGCTCACACAGAGCCGCCATCTTGCTCCACCCGCAACTAACGAGTTGTACTTTTAGTGCCGGCGGAACTCTTTGCAGGTGAGAGGTTTAACCCCTCGTTGCCCCGCAGCACATTGACGTCATCTGAGGACACTGCCAGCGAGTCGTTACAATGTATATAAACCCCCAACAATCGTCTTCTTTCATCTCTTTTGTTACATCTGCTTAGACGTAGGGAATCGCTGTGCATGCCGATACACCTGTGTACAGTGTGTGACGTCATAACAATACCCTCCCATCAGAGTGCTCCCTCTTATCGGGTGGTTTCCCGGAACGTGACGTCATATTTGCTGGCTTGGGGCCAGAACACCGAGACCGAGAAATGAAACTCTCTCTCTGGGAGGAAATCACCACAAACCTCGTGATGGAGTTTCGTTTCTGTGACTTGGGATCAGCCGGCCGGGAGTATAAAAGAGTCGGAGCTCCGACCCGAGCCCAGAGAGAGAGGAGTCGCATCGCCGGGACCGCGATCCCTACACACAGACCGGTAATGAATTATAATGAATTATACAATATGCAGTACAGGGTTATATGTAGCGATCCCTATATATATATCATCCTCTACTGATCGCTATATATCATCCTGTACTGATCCCTATATATCATCCTCTACTGATCCCTATATATCATCCTCTAATGATCCTTATATATCATCCTCTACTGATCCCTATGTATCATTCTGTATGGATCCCTATATATCATCCTGTACTGATCCCTATGTATCATCCTGTACTGATCCCTATATATCATCCTCTACTGATCCCTATATATCATCCTCTAATGATCCTTATATATCATCCTCTACTGATCCCTATGTATCATTCTGTATTGATCCCTATATATCATCCTGTACTGATCCCTATGTATCATCCTGTACTGATCCCTATATATCATCCTCTACTGATCCCTATATATCATCCTCTACTGATCCCTATGTATCATCCTCTACTGATCCCTATATATCATCCTCTACTGATCCCTATATATAATATCTTGTACTGATCATTGTAGATCATCCTCTACTGATCCCTACTGACCCCCCGAGACACCCCTATTACTCTCCAACCAGCAAAGTACACACTCCAT